TCTCGGTGGATTTTACAACTAACAATTGCAAAAAGTGAAGTTTCCAGACGTTTATCTAGTTGAAAAAATTCTCAAAAGGAAACGCGATAAAGTGTTTGTAAAGTGGTTGGGGTTTGATAACAAACACAATAGTTGGATAGATATAAATAATGTTGCGTAGGTGTGAGGAAGATTCAGTTGCAAATTAGTAGTGCTCGTAGAACATTTAAAAATGTTTATCCTCGACGTTCAAGGATTTCAGTATAAACAGAGCGATTATATCGTTAGAGAAATCGCAATTATAAACGTGTCCAGTGGAGAACTGTTTCATAGAATGATGAAAACACCTTGTCCGTATAACTGGTTCACAGGTGAAATTAGAAATCATCTTTTGAAGACCACGAATCGTGTCCACGGACTATCCTGGGATGAAAAAGAAGATGAGACCTGTCTACCTCAAGAAAGTGTAGTTAGTTTTATTAGAAACATTGTACAAAATAACTATATCTATGTTAAAGGCAGTTGTAAGGTAAACTATTTAAAATCACTGCTTTATTACAATGATATTGATATTGTCGATTTACATGACATTGGATGTCCAAATTTTAAAAGTTTAAAAGAAAATAACCAGTATAATTTTCATTGTAATAATCACTTTTATAATTTCTCTAATTGTGCCAAAGAAAATGTACTATTGCTAAGAAATTGGTATATTAATAAAAATTATCTTAAAAAATGAACTTGTTGTTTTATTAACTTTAACCATAAGAACAATTAAAATGATTTTTATCATGTGATGGAAAAATTAAACAAGTTATAACTCGAATATTTTTTTATTATTTTTATTTACTAACTAACTAAAAACGATTAATTTCTAAACGTAAGGATATAAGAAAAAACTTGAAGAATTAAAACGTGGTGAAATGATGCAAGAGACAATGTTTAAGCCTATTACAAAACGATTGAAAAATATCGAGTCTTCTTTGCAAAATTCAACAAGAACAACAACGCCAGCAACCACGACGACGAAGACGACTCTAGTAAGTGATGTAACACAAACTACTCCAAAGTATCATCCTCCCGTAAAAGTGGAGGAGCCCGCCGCCGCCACAGCAGAAGAACAAACTTTACCGCTATCAGTAATTCAAAAGAAACGAAAAATATTGCCTAGACAGTTATCATTTAATTCGACTCCTATTAGTAATTACGATTCACCGAGTGAAATGAAACAATCAATTATAGATGAAATTGATTCAGATTATGAAGACAACGTAGTAAACTTGTTGTTTTATTAACTTTAACCATAAGAACAATTAATATTATTTTTATCATGTGATGGAAAAATTAAACAAGTTATAACTCGAATATTTTTTAATATTTTTATTTACTAACACTAAATTTTTGACTTCCAAACTCTTCCGCGTCGTCGTCTAAAACGAAGCAAAAATCTTCAACTTTGCTGGTACTGGGAGTGGTGGTAGTCGTCGTCATCGTCGTAGTGGTGGCTGATTTTAAAATTCTGTTTTCCAGAATTTTTATTTTCTCTTCTTCCGAAGCCGGTTTGAATTTTTTAGCCGGTACGGGTTCGTCCTCCTCTATGGCAGCCGCATAAAAATTGACGTCCGAGAATTCACGCATCCCCTTCAATAACAATTGTAATTCTTCCTCGTCATCGGCCGCCACTCTCAGGTATCGGACGGGAAGATTTTTTAATTTTCCCTGAACCGTTTCATTCTTCGGTGAATATTTCAAATACAAGTGAACTCTCTTGTTCACAATCTTCACCTCTTTCCTCCCATACCTATGATAATTTGATAGATTTTTAGTAAATTATGGAAAACAAAACAATGAAGGTGACAGACTTACCTGAATAAATTTTTTAAAAATACCGCCAGCATCTTGTTGGAAAGTCTGGCGGGATCCGTTGACTCAAAAATTAATGTTGACGGAGTGTCCATAGTCGTTGTGTACAATGATTCCTTGTCGTAGAGTTCGATATATTTATATGCATTTATTTTTTTTAATTATTATCTATCCTAAAATTCCCACTTCGTCAGCACGATAATAACACAGTGCATTCATAATATTAAAAGCGATTACGTTATATTTATCAATTGCGCAAAACATAATAGTTTTGACCCTAACCCCGCTATCCGATAAAAGCGGTAAAATTCTACAAAGTGATATTATTTATCACATACGCGTCTATTAGAATAGACAAAAAAGTCTGCTGCGTATAAGTAAAAATGTCTGAAATCAGTGAGTTGAGTGAAAAAACGCTGCTGAAAATTAAAGAAGTTGGTGAGTTAATTAAAACAAAACATGAATATTGCAAGTGGATAAAATTTCTGAACAGAAACAATTTAATTTTGAAAAAATATTTAAAAAGTGTATCGTCATCGTCGACAGACAGAAAAGCGGTGGCAAAAATAGAATCAAATTTAAGTCTTTTAAAAAATTTCAAAGAACAATTCAAACATCATAAAACAGTTAAAAAAAATAATGCAAAATTAATTTGGGTTGATAACGAGTCTTGCTTTAAAAATCGTATTAAAACGGGAGCAATAGTTAATTTAGATATTAAAGATCCTATAATATTTTTTAGCAAGGCGTTTAGATCATTCTCTTGTCAAATAAAAAAAGCCCTTCGGGAGTCCCTAATTAAAGTTAACGTAATATTTCTTGCAGATTTTGTAAAACCACAAACGGGCGAAACCGATGTAAAACATTTTTCCACCAAAACTCGCGTCATCGATCATAATACCGATTTGAAAGAATTTTATAGTAATTATATTAAAAATAATATATTAACAAAATTAGAGGATTTTCAAGAGAGGGATTCTGGTTGGGCTCTTCACCATATTCTACAATTAAAAGTTAACATTAATAATTATACACCGATAAATATCGGTCTTTCAACTTATGTATCGATGCCAAAATTTATTATTAATAAAAAAGCTGTTCTTAATATTCAAAATAACGATGAATATTGTTTTCTTTGGTCTATCGTTGCCGCGCTACATCCTTGTCGTACAAATCAAAATCCGCGTATTACCTATTCATATCCTCATTTCAGTGAAGTTTTAAAATACGATGGCATTGAATTTCCAATCAAATTAAAAGACATAAAAAAGTTTGAAGAAATGAATAATATTTCCATAAACGTTTTCTCATTAGAAAAGCGGGAAATTGTACCGGCGTATTTAAGTCAATTCTCTTATTTAAGAACGGTTAATTTATTGATGCTTCCCACCGATATAACCAATGATTACGACGACGACGACGACGACGACGACGACAACAATAATCTCTCTAATCACATTAACAATTTTGAGACAGTTTTTCATTTCGCATTAATTAGAAGTTTATCACGGTTATTATCGAAACAAAGCGGAGATTCGACTCATAGCAGATTTTATTGCTATCGGTGCTTAAATCATTTTTATTCACAACAAACTTTAAATAAACACATATTTAGTTGCAGAAAATTAAATAAAACCAAAATTACGCTCCCGACTGAACAAGAGAAACACGTAACATTTTCACATTTTAAAAATAAAGAAAAAGTACCGTTTGTTATCTACGCGGATATCGAGTGTATTTTACAAAAATACGAAGATTCCGCTGCGACGGGAAACATTAAAAAATATCAAAAACATATTCCTTGTAGTATTTCTTATTATCTGTTGTGCAGTTACGATAATAATCTTTCCAAATTTAACTTGTATACGGGTAAAGATTGTATGAGCTGGTTTTGTCGACAATTACAAGAACTGGCCCTACAATTAAATCCTATATTTAACAATGCTGTTTCAATGACACCTTTAACTGAACATGAAAAAGAATCATTTTATACATCAACCACATGTCACATTTGTTCAAAACCATTTACCGAAAATGATTTGAGAGTAAAAGATCATTGTCATTTCACGGGAAAATATCGAGGAGTTGCTCATTCTTCTTGCAATCTTAATTACAAGGACGATCATATGATACCCGTGGTATTTCATAACTTAGGATACGATCTACACTTTTTTATTAAAAACTTGGCAACTGAAATTCCCGGTTCGGTAATATTACTACCTCGTAACAAAGAAAAATATATATCGTTTACAAAATATATCGAAAACACGAGCGTTAATTTTCGATTTTTAGATTCGTTCAGATTTATGGCTAGTAGTTTGGATAAGTTAAGTTCTTATTTAGACCCTAGCGAAAAAAAAATTACTAGAAGCTTTTGCGAAAATCTCGAAGAATTTCAGTTGTTACGGAAAAAGGGAGTCTTTCCGTATGAATATCTAGATGATTGGGAAAAATTGAACGACGTCGAATTGCCCCCGATTGAAAATTTCTATAGTAAACTTAGAAAATCCGGTATTACGATAAAAGATTACGAGCATGCCAAAAATATTTGGACAACATTCAAAATTCAAAATTTACGGGAATATATGGAATTGTATTTGAAAACAGACGTACTATTATTGACGGACGTTTTCGAAAATTTCAGAAATGTATGTCAAAAAACGTATGGCTTGGAATGTTTGAAATATTACACGGCACCGGGTCTGGCATACGATGCATGTCTTCTCATTTCAAATGTTCAACTAGAATTAATTACGGACATCGATCAATTAATGATAATCGAAAAAGGAATACGCGGTGGAATTTCACAATGCAGTAACCGATACGGTAAGGCTAACAATAAATACATGGAAAACGATTATAATCCAGACATTCCTTCATCATATTTAATGTATTTCGATGTAAATAACCTATATGGAACGGCAATGAGACTACCACTACCGACGGGTGGGTTCCAATGGATCGATAATAACGCATTTTATTCTATCATAAACACGTCGGACGATTCTGACGTTGGGTATCTTCTTGAAGTAGATATAGAATATCCTACAATACTTCACGATATCCACAAAGATCTACCTCTATGTCCGGAACGTTTGATTCCACCAACGGGACAAACAAAACAGCCGAAATTATTGACAACATTGTTTGATAAAAAAAACTACGTAATACATTATAAAAATCTCAAACAGGCTCTTCAGTTAGGTTTACGTGTTACAAAAATTCATAAAATATTACAATTTAACCAATCTCCGTGGTTGAAAACCTACATTGACCTAAACACACACTTGAGGCAGCAAAGCAAATCGAATTCGAAAAAATTTTTTTTAAATTAATGAATAATGCCGTTTTCGGCAAGACTATGGAAAACGTTCGGAAATATTAAGACGTTAAACTGGTAACAAGTTGGTCGGGACGATACGGTGCGAAGAGTTATATTTCAAAACCAAATTTTCATAGCTTAACAATTTTCGACAATGACATGGTTATCATTGAAATGAAGAGATTGAATATTAAATTTAATAAACCCATTTACGCTGGTTTTAGTATTTTAGAAATTTCAAAAACATTTTTATACGATTTTCATTATCATTATATTATACCAAAATTCGGCAAGGATGTAAAACTCTTGTATTCAGATACAGATACGTTAATATATAATTTTTACGTTGACGATATTTATAAATGTATTCGAGAAGATATTCATAAATTTGACACTTCTGATTATCCTCCCGATAACATTTATAATATTCCTTTGGCTAATAAAAAAGTTTTGGGATTGATGAAAGACGAAAGCAACGGTAGAATTATGCACGAATTTATCGGATTAAAATCTAAAATGTACGCGATCAAATTATATTATTCAAATGTAGAACGAGAAAAATCTTCTAACAAAAAAGAAGTCGAAACTATTAAAAAAGCCAAAGGTATTACCGGTTCGTCATTAAAAACAATCACTTTTGAAGACTATTATAATTGTCTGTTTGATAAAACTCAAATGTATACCAACGAACATCTGTTTCGTAGTAAAAACCATGAAGTTTTTACGGTAAACCAAAGGAAAATTGTTTTAACACCGTTCGATGATAAGAGAGTGGTTAATTATATATTTACTGATACATTGCCTTGGGGATATAAAACAAATTAAATTTTATGTTAAAAAAATATTCACTTGTTTTAATTAATACAATTTCATAAGCAGCAAAAACTCACTTGTTTTATCATTTTTGTTTTAATTAATTCAATTTCATAAGCAGCAAAAACTCAACAATTTTAAATAAGACATTATTAAAAGGTAAGAACCTATTTGTTTCCTGTAGTCATAATTTAATACAATTTTTTTAGCAGCATTCTAACGTCGAGTCACTGAAAATTTGCGTTAAAGTGTTTAGTCAAGTACGAAGCAGCAGCAGCCATGAATAGTGATCGTTACGTAACAACAACAACCGAAAAAAAAGTGAAACAAGATGTTTCGGAAAACTCCAAAGTCTACTACTATAACGGTACCAAGTACTGTAATAACTGTAATAAATCTTTTTGCTTTTGTGAAGAATCCATTAAAAATCATCCAATATGTAATATAAAATATTGTTCGCAATCAACAAGTCGTTCGAACAATATAAGTTTATATTGCGACGAAGTTATTCCATCATCGTCGTCGTCGTCGTCGTCGTCGTCGTCGTCGTCACCACCAGCGGCCAAAAAAACAAGGATTTAGAACATACCCTATAGAAGAAGAAGAAGAAGAAGAAGAAATACGTTGTGGTGTTTAGCAAATTTATATCGGATGTCAATACTTTGTAAATGTTTTCAATAAATCATCAATTTTATCGGTGCACATTTATTTAATTGCATTCACCTCGACAACCTTTTTAGATATTAATTTGTTTTCTATTCAAACTTATCAATGTAAATGTTTTAAATAAATCATCAATTTTATCGGTGCACACTTATTTAATTATATCGACCAGCGCGCATACACGACGACGCGATAACGTGCCGGCCCAGTTACGCTAGGGGAACAGCGCGCGTCGGCGTTTATCCGAAGGTTCGCGGTTCGAATCCCGCCCGCCCGCGCGAGACATCGGCGGCGGCGGTCGCTTTTTTCGGCTCTCAAGAATTTCTCACCCCCGCACCCCCACACCCCCAGTAGTGCCGAAAATGCACTACGAAATTTATTTTTTCTACGAACCCCTTTTTTTTACCGGGGTGCAATTGCCAAAAAGGCACTAGCGACTATGACGTCATAAAATGTTTTTTAATCAGTGACACCACTTTTTCAACAAGGGGAGGCGCCAAAAAGGCACTATGACGTCACACCTCGACACAGGTGTAATTACCTTACCCACCCCCAGGGGTCCCCGTACACCTGTCTACACCCTAATGGTGACAGTTTCCACTTCTTCGGCGTGACCTTTACTTCTTTTACATGACCCCTTACGAAGAACTGGCTTTGGTACACTGCTGATGGAAAATGCCATCGATGACCTTGAATCGTCACAGTCCCGCGTTAGAATAACTACTAGCTCAGCCCACAAATTTTTCTCAAATATGGGGATTGAGTACATAAATTTATAAAAATATAATGGAATTATATTTCTACGCATGGCACATTACCAGAAATAATTCTACTTTCAAACAGATTTAGCCCTGGTCTGTCGGTTAAGGTTTCTGACTAGAAATCAGATTCTCCATGGCAGCGTATGTTCGAAACCTTCCTACTGCAAACGGCCATTGTTGTGCTTGAAATATATATATTTTAATTAACAGCTCAACCCAGAAATTTTTCTCAAATATGGGGATTGAGTACATAAATTTATAAAAATATAATGGCCTTACATTTCAACGCATGGCACATCACCAGAAATAGTTCCACTTTCAAACATATTTAGCCTTGGTCTGTCGGTTAAGGCGTCTGACTAGAAATCAGATTCTCCATGGCAGCGTAGGTTCGAAACCTACCTACTGCAAACGGAAATTGTTTTGCTTGAAATATTATTTTTGTAATTAGCAGCTCAGTCCAGAAAATTTTGTCAATTATGGGGATTGAGTGCATACATTCAAAACAATATAATGTCCTTATATTTCAAATGCCACATTACCAGAAATAGTTGTACTTTCAAACAGACTTAGCCCTGGTCTGTCGATAAGGGCGTCTGACTAGAAATCAGATTCTAAATGGCAGCGTAGGTTCGAAACCTATCTACTGCAAACGGAAATTGTTTTGCTTGAAATATATATTTTTTAATTAACAGCTCAGCCCAGAAATTTTTCTCAGATATGGGGATTGAGTACATAAATTTATAAAAACATAATGGCCTTATATTTCAACTCATGGCACATCACCAGAAATAGTTCGACTATCAAACAGATTTTGATTTGGTTTGTCGACTAATGCGTCTGACTAGAAATCAGATTCTCCATGGCAGCGTAGGTTCGAAACCTACCTACTGCAAACGGAAATTGTTTTGCTTGAAATATATATTTTTTAATTAACAGCTCAGCCCAGAAATTTCTCTCAGATATGGGGATTGAGTACATAAATTTATAAAAACATAATGGCCTTATATTTCAAGGCATGGCACATCACCAGAAATAGTTCGACTTTCAAACATATTTAGCCTTGGTCTGTCGGTTAAGGCGTCTGACCAGAAATCAGATTCTCCATGGCAGCGTAGGTTCGAAACCTACCTACTGCAAGCGGAAATTGTTTTGCTTGAAATATATATTTTTTAAATTAACAGCTCAGCCCAGAAATTTTTCTCAGATATGGGGATTGAGTACATAAATTTATAAAAACATAATGGCCTTATATTTCAACTCATGGCACAACTCCAGAAATAGTGCGACTATCAAACAGATTTTGATTTGGTTTGTCGACTAAGGCGTCTGACTAGAAATCAGATTCTCCATGGCAGCGTAGGTTCGAAACCTACCTACTGCAAACGGCCATTGTTTTGCTTGAAATATATATTTTTTAATTAACAGCTCAGCCCAGAAATTTTTCTCAAATATGGGGATTGAGTACATAAATTTATAAAAGTTTAATGAACCTATATTTCAACGCATGGCACATTACCAGAAATAGTTCGACTTTCAAACAGATTTAGCCTTGGTCTGTCGGTTAAGGCGTCTGACTAGAAATCAGATTCTCTATCAGCATAGGTTCGAAACCTACCTACTGCAAACGACCATTATTTTGCTTGAAATATAATTTTTGTAAATAGCAGCTTAGCCCAGAAAATTTTGTCAATTATATAGATTGAGTTCATAAATTTAAAACAATATAATGCCCTTATATTTCAAATGGCACATCACCAGAAGTAGTTCTCGTAGGTTCGAAACCTACCTGCTGCAAACGATCATTGTTTTGCTTGAAATATAATTTTTGTAATTAGCAGCTCAGGCAAGAAAATTTTGTCAATTATGGGGATTGAGTTCATAAATTTATAACAATGTAATGCCCTTAATTTCAAATGGCACATCACCAGAAATAGTCCTACTTTCAAACAGATTTAGCCCTGGTCTGTCGGTTAAGGCGTCTTACTAGAAATCAGATTCATCATGGCAGCGTAGGTTCGAAACCTATCTACTGCAAACGGCCATTGTTTTGCTTGAAATATATATTTTTTAATTAACAGCTCAGCCCAGAAATTTTTCTAAAATATGGGGACTGATTACATAAATTTATAAAAATAAATTGGCCTTATATTTCAACGCATGGCACATCACCAGAAATAGTTCGACTTTGAAACAGATTTAGCCTTGGTCTGTCGGTTAAGGCGTCTGACAACAAATCAGATTCTCCATGGCAGCGTAAGTTCGAAACCTACCTACTGCAAACGGCCATTGTTTCGCTTGAAATATATATTTTTTAATTAACAGCTCAACCCACAAATTTTTCTCAAATATGGGGATTGAAAACATAAATTTATAAAAATATAATGGACTTATATTTCAACGCATAACACATCACCAGAAATAGTTCGACTTCCAAACAGATTTAGCCTTGGTCTGTCGGTTAAGGTGTATGACAAGAAATCAGATTCTCCATGGCAGCGTAGGTTCGAAACCTACCTACTGCAAACGGCCATTGTTTTGCCTGAAATATATATTTTTTAATTAACAGCTCAACCCAGAAATTTTTCTCAAATATGGGGATTAAGTACATAAATTTATAAAAATATAATGGACTTATATTTCAACGCATGGCACATCACCAGAAATAGTTCCACTTTCAAACAGATTTAGCCTTGGTCTGACGGTTAAGGCATCTGACTAGAAATCAGATTCTCCATGGCAGCGAAGGTTCGAAACCTACCTACTGCAAACGGCCATTGTTTTGCTTGAAATATATATTTTTTAATTAACAGCTCAGCCCAGAAATTTTTCTCAAATATGGGGATTGAGTACATATATTTATAAAAATATAATGGCCTTACATTTCAACGCATGGCACATCACCAGAAATAGTTCCACTTTCAAACATATTTAGCCTTGGTCTGTCGGTTAAGGCGTCTGACTAGAAATCAGATTCTCCATGGCAGCGTAGGTTCGAAACCTACCTACTGCAAACGGAAATTGTTTTGCTTGAAATATTATTTTTGTAATTCACAGCTCAGTCCAGAAAATTTTGTCAATTATGGGGATTGAGTGCATACATTCAAAACAATATAATGTCCTTATATTTCAAATGCCACATTACCAGAAATAGTTGTACTTTCAAACAGACTTAGCCCTGGTCTGTCGATAAGGGCGTCTGACTAGAAATCAGATTCTAAATGGCAGCGTAGGTTCGAAACCTATCTACTGCAAACGGAAATTGTTTTGCTTGAAATATATATTTTTTAATTAACAGCTCAGCCCAGAAATTTTTCTCAGATATGGGGATTGAGTACATAAATTTATAAAAACATAATGGCCTTATATTTCAACTCATGGCACATCACCAGAAATAGTTCGACTATCAAACAGATTTTGATTTGGTTTGTCGACTAATGCAGTAGTTATTCTAACGCGGGACTGTGACGATTCAAGGTCACCGATGGCATTTTCCATCAGCAGTGTACCAAAGCCAGTGTACCATTAGGGTGTAGACAGGTGTACGGGGACCCCTGGGGGTGGGTAAGGTAATTACACCTGTGTCGAGGTGTGACGTCATAGTGCCTTTTTGGCGCCTCCCCTTGTTGAAAAAGTGGTGTCACTGATTAAAAAACATTTTATGACGTCATAGTCGCTAGTGCCTTTTTGGCAATTGTACCCCGGTAAAAAAAGGGGTTCGTAGAAAAAATAAATTTCGTAGTGCCTTTTCGGCACTACGGGGGGTGTGGGGGTGCGGGGGTGAGAAATTTTTGAAAGCCGAAAAAAGCGACCGCCGCCGCCGCCGATGTCTCGCGCGGGCGGGATTCGAACCTCGAACCTTCGGAGATAAACGCCGACGCTCGCGCTGTTCCCCTAGCGTAACTGGGGGCCGGCAGGTTATCGCGTCGTCGTCGTGTATGCGCGCTGGTCGATATAATTAAATAAGTGTGCACCGATAAAATTGATGATTTATTTAAAACATTTACATTGATAAGTTTGAATAGAAAACAAATTAATATCTAAAAAGGTTGTCGAGGTGAATGTAATTAAATAAATGTGCACCGATAAAATTGATGATTTATTTAAAACATTTACATTGATAAGTTGGAATAGAAAACAAAATAATATCTAAAAAGGTTGTCGAGGTGAATACAATTAAATAAATGTGCACCGATAAAATTGATGATTTATTGAAAACATTTACAAAGTATTGACATCCGATATAAATTTGCTAAACACCACAACGTATTTCTTCTTCTTCTTCTTCTTCTATAGGGTATGTTCTAAATCCTTGTTTTTTTGGTCGCTGGTGGTGACGACGACGACGACGACGACGACGATGATGGAATAACTTCGTCGCAATATAAACTTATATTGTTCGAACGACTTGTTGATTGCGAACAATATTTTATATTACATATTGGATGATTTTTAATGGATTCTTCACAAAAGCAAAAAGATTTGTTACAGCTATTACAGTACTTGGTACCGTTATAGTAGTAGACTTTGGAGTTTTCCGAAACATCTTGTTTCACTTTTTTTTCGGTTGTTGTTGTTACGTAACGATCACTATTCATGGCTGCTGCTGCTTCGTACTTGACTAAACACTTTAACGCAAATTTTCAGTGACTCGACGTTAGAATGCTGTGAAAAAAAATTGTATTAAATTATGACTATAGAAAACAAATAGGTTCTTACCTTTTAATAATGTCTTATTTAAAATTGTTGAGTTTTGCTGCTTATGAAATTGAATTAATTAAAACAAAAATGATAAAACAAGTGAGTTTTTGCTGCTTATGAAATTGTATTAATTAAAACAAGTGAATATTTTTTTAACATAAAATTTAATTTGTTTTATATCCCCAAGGCAATGTATCAGTAAATATATAATTAACCACTCTCTTATCATCGAACGGTGTTAAAACAATTTTCCTTTGGTTTACCGTAAAAACTTCATGGTTTTTACTACGAAACAGATGTTCGTTGGTATACATTTGAGTTTTATCAAACAGACAATTATAATAGTCTTCAAAAGTGATTGTTTTTAATGACGAACCGGTAATACCTTTGGCTTTTTTAATAGTTTCGACTTCTTTTTTGTTAGAAGATTTTTCTCGTTCTACATTTGAATAATATAATTTGATCGCGTACATTTTAGATTTTAATCCGATAAATTCGTGCATAATTCTACCGTTGTTTTCGTCTTTCATCAATCCCAAAACTTTTTTATTAGCCAAAGGAATATTATAAATGTTATCGGGAGGATAATCAGAAGTGTCAAATTTATGAATATCTTCTCGAATACATTTATAAATATCGTCAACGTAAAAATTATATATTAACGAATCTGTATCTGAATACAAGAGTTTTACATCCTTGCCGAATTTTGGTATAATATAATGATAATGAAAATCGTATAAAAATGTTTTTGAAATTTCTAAAATACTAAAACCAGCGTAAATGGGTTTATTAAATTTAATATTCAATCTCTTCATTTCAATGATAACCATGTCATTGTCGAAAATTGTTAAGCTATGAAAATTTGGTTTTGAAATATAACTCTTTGCACTGTATCGTCCCGACCAACTTGTTACCAGTTTAACGTCTTTATATTTCCGAACGTTTTCCATAGTCTCGCCGAAAACGGCATTATTCATTAATTTAAAAAAATTTTTTTCGAATTCGTTTTTGCCTTGCTGCCTCAAGTGTGTGTTTAGGTCAATGTAGGTTTTCAACCACGGAGATTGGTTAAATTGTAATATTTTATGAATTTTTGTAACACGTAAACCTAACTGAAGAGCCTGTTTGAGATTTTTATAATGTATTACGTAGTTTTTTTTATCAAACAATGTTGTCAATAATTTCGGCTGTTTTGTTTGACCCGTTGGTGGAATCAAACGTTCCGGACATAGAGGTAGATCTTTGTGGATATCGTGAAGTATTGTAGGATATTCTATATCTACTTCAAGAAGATACCCAACGTCAGAATCGTCCGACGTGTTTATGATAGAATAAAATGCGTTATTATCGATCCATTGGAACCCACCCGTCGGTAGTGGTAGTCTCATTGCCGTTCCATATAGGTTATTTACATCGAAATACATTAAATATGATGAAGGAATGTCTGGATTATAATCGTTTTCCATGTATTTATTGTTAGCCTTACCGTATCGGTTACTGCATTGTGAAATTCCACCGCGTATTCCTTTTTCGATCATCATTAATTGATCGATGTCCGTAATTAATTCTAGTTGAACATTTGAAATGAGAAGACATGCATCGTATGCCAGACCCGGTGCCGTGTAATATTTCAAACATTCCAAGCCATACGTTTTTTGACATACATTTCTGAAATTTTCGAAAACGTCCGTCAATAATAGTACGTCTGTTTTCAAATACAATTCCATATATTCGCGTAAATTTTGAATTTTGAATGTTGTCCAAATATTTTTGGCATGCTCGTAATCTTTTATCGTAATACCGGATTTTCTAAGTTTACTATAGAAATTTTCAATCGGGGGCAATTCGACGTCGTTCAATTTTTCCCAATCATCTAGATATTCATACGGAAAGACTCCCTTTTTCTGTAACAACTGAAATTCTTCGAGATTTTCGCAAAAGCTTCTAGTAATGTTTTTTTCGCTAGGGTCTAAATAAGAACTTAACTTATCCAAACTACTAGCCATAAATCTGAACGAATCTAAAAATCGAAAATTAACGCTCGTGTTTTCGATATATTTTGTAAACGATATATATTTTTCTTTGTTACGAGGTAGTAATATTACCGAACCGGGAATTTCAGTTGCCAAGTTTTTAATAAAAAAGTGTAGATCGTATCCTAAGTTATGAAATACCACGGGTATCATATGATCGTCCTTGTAATTAAGATTGCAAGAAGAATGAGCAACTCCTCGATATTTTCCCGTGAAATGACAATGATCTTTTACTCTTAAATCATTTTCGGTAAATGGTTTTGAACAAATGTGACATGTGGTTGATGTATAAAATGATTCTTTTTCATGTTCAGTCAAAGGTGTCATTGAAACAGCATTGTTAAATATAGGATTTAATTGTAGGGCCAGTTCTTGTAATTGTCGACAAAACCAGCTCATACAATCTTTACCCGTATACAAGTTAAATTTGGAAAGATTATTATCGTAACTGCACAACAGATAATAAGAAATACTACAAGGAATATGTTTTTGATATTTTTTAATGTTTCCCGTCGCAGCGGAATCTTCGTATTTTTGTAAAATACACTCGATATCCGCGTAAATAACAAACGGTACTTTTTCTTTATTTTTAAAATGCGAAAATGTTACGTGTTTCTCTTGTTCAGTTGGGAGCGTAATTTTGGTTTTATTTAATTTTCTGCAACTAAATATGTGTTTATTTAAAGTTTGTTGTGAATAAAAATGATTTAAGCACCTATCGCAATAAAATCTGCTATGAGTCGAATCTCCGCTTTGTTTCGATAATAACCGAGATAAACTTCTAATTAATGCGAAATGAAAAACTGTCTCAAAATTGTTAATGTGATTAGAGAGATTATTGTTGTCGACGTCGTCGTCGTCGTCGTCGTCGTCGTCGTAATCATTGGTTATATCGGTGGGAAGCATCAATAAATTAACCGTTCTTAAATAAGAGAATTGACTTAAACACGCCGGTACAATTTCCCGCTTTTCTAATGAGAAAACGTTTATGGAAATATTATTCATTTCTTCAAACTTTTTTATGTCTTTTAATTTGATTGGAAATTCAATGCCATCGTATTTTAAAACTTCACTGAAATGAGGATATGAATAGGTAATACGCGGATTTTGATTTGTACGACAAGGATGTAGCGCGGCAACGATAGACCAAAGAAAACAATATTCATCGTTATTTTGAATATTAAGAACAGCTTTTTTATTAATAATAAATTTTGGCATCGATACATAAGTTGAAAGACCGATATTTATCGGTGTATAATTATTAATGTTAACTTTTAATTGTAGAATCCGGTGAAGAGCCCAACCAGAATCCCTCTCTTGAAAATCCTCTAATTTTGTTAATATATTATTTTTAATATAATTACTATAAAATTCTTTCAAATCGGTATTATGATCGATGACGCGATTTTTGGTGGAAAAATGTTTTACATCGGTTTCGCCCGTTTGTGGTTTTACAAAATCTGCAAGAAATATTACGTTAACTTTAATTAGGGACTCCCGAAGGGCTTTTTTTATTTGACAAGAGAATGATCTAAACGCCTTGCTAAAAAATATTATAGGATCTTTAATATCTAAATTAACTATTGCTCCCGTTTTAATACGATTTTTAAAGCAAGACTCGTTATCAACCCAAATTAATTTTGCATTATTTTTTTTAACTGTTTTATGATGTTTGAATTGTTCTTTGAAATTTTTTAAAAGACTTAAATTTGATTCTATTTTTGCCACCGCTTTTCTGTCTGTCGACGATGACGATACACTTTTTAAATATTTTTTCAAAATTAATTTGTTTCTGTTCAGAAATTTTATCCACTTGCAATATTCATGTTTTGTTTTAATTAACTCACCAACTTCTTTAATTTTCAGCAGCGTTTTTTCACTCAACTCACTGATTTCAGACATTTTTACTTATACGCAGCAGACTTTTTTGTCTATTCTAATAGACGCGTATGTGATAAATAATATCACTTTGTAGAATTTTACCGCTTTTATCGGATAGCGGGGTTAGGGTCAAAACTATTATGTTTTGCGCAATTGATAAATATAACGTAATCGCTTTTAATATTATGAATGCACTGTGTTATTATCGTGCTGACGAAGTGGAAATTTTAGGATAGATAATAATTAAAAAAATAAATGCATATAAATATATCGAACTCTACGACAAGGAATCATTGTACACAACGACTATGGACACTCCGTCAACATTAATTTTTGAGTCAACGGATCCCGCCAGACTTTCCAACAAGATGCTGGCGGTATTTTTAAAAAATTTATTCAGGTAAGTCTGTCACCTTCATTGTTACTAAAAATCTATCAAATTATCATAGGTATGGGAGGAAAGAAGTGAAGATTGTGAACAAGAGAGTTCACTTGTATTTGAAATATTCACCGAAGAATGAAACGGTTCAGGGAAAATTAAAAAATCTTCCCGTCCGATACCTGAGAGTGGCGGCCGATGACGAGGAAGAATTACAATTGTTATTGAAGGGGATGCGTGAATTCTCGGACGTCAATTTTTATGCGGCTGCCATAGAGGAGGACGAACCGGTACCGGCTAAAAAATTCAAGCCGGCTTCGGAAGAAGAGAAAATAAAAATTCTGGAAAACAGAATTTTTAAATCAGCCACTACTACGACGATGACGACGACTACCACCACTCCCAGTACCAGCAAAGTTGAAGATTTTTGCTTCGTTTTAGACGACGACGCGGAAGAGTTTGAAAGTCAAAAATTTAGTGTAGTTAGTAAATAAAAATATTAAAAAATATTCGAGTTATAACTTGTTTAATTTTTTCCATCACATGATAAAAATAATATTAATTGTTCTTATGGTTAAAGTTAATAAAACAACAAGTTTACTACGTTCTCTTCATAATCTGAATCAATTTCATCTATAATTGATTGTTTCATTTCACTCGGTGAATCGTAATTACTAATAGGAGTCGAATTAAATGATAACTGTCTAGGCAATATTTTTCGTTTCTTTTGAATTACTGATAGCGGTAAAGTTTGTTCTTCTGCTGCGGCGGCGGGCTCCTCCACTTTTACGGGAGGATGATACTTTGGAGTAGTTTGTGTTACATCACTTACTAGAGTCGTCTTCGTCGTCGTGGTTGCTGGCGTTGTTGTTCTTGTTGAATTTTGCAAAGAAGACTCGATATTTTTCAATCGTTTTGTAATAGGCTTAAACATTGTCTCTTGCATCATTTCACCACGTTTTAATTCTTCAAGTTTTTTTCTTATATCCTTACGTTTAGAAATTAATCGTTTTTAGTTAGTTAGTAAATAAAAATAATAAAAAAATATTCGAGTTATAACTTGTTTAATTTTTCCATCACATGATAAAAAATCATTTTAATTGTTCTTATGGTTAAAGTTAATAAAACAACAAGTTCATTTTTTTAGATAATTTTTATTAATATACCAATTTCTCAGCAATAGTACATTTTCTTTGGCACAATTAGAGAAATTATAAAAGTGATTATTACAATGAAAATTATACTGGTTATTTTCTTTTAAACTTTTAAAATTTGGACATCCAATGTCATGTAAATCGACAATATCAATATCATTGTAATAAAGCAGTGATTTTAAATAGTTTACCTTACAACTGCCTTTAACATAGATATAGTTATTTTGTACAATGTTTCTAATAAAACTAACTACACTTTCTTGAGGTAGACAGGTCTCATCTTCTTTTTCATCCCAGGACAGTCCGTGGACACGATTCGTGGTCTTCAAAAGATGGTTTCTAATTTCACCTGTGAACCAGTTATACGGACAAGGTGTTTTCACCATTCTATGAAACACTTCTCCACTGGACACGTTTATAATTGCGATTTCTCTAACGATATAATCGCTCTGTTTATACTGAAATCCTTGAACGTCGAGGATAAACATTTTTTAAATGTTCTACGAGCACTACTAATTTGCAACTGAATCTTCCTCAAACCTACGCAACATTATTTATATCTATCCAACTATTGTGTTTGTTATCAAACCCCAACCACTTTACAAACACTTTATCGCGTTTCCTTTTGAGAATTTTTTCAACTAGATAAACGTCTGGAAACTTCACTTTTTGCAATTGTTCGTTGTAAAATCCACCGAGAATATTTTGATTATTTTCATCTTTTAATAAATACGTAGTGGGATTGGTTAGTTGAACTTTATCTACCGTAAAAATTTCCGTTGACCAATTTGGTTGGTATTTTTTATCGAAAACACCTCGCCTCTTCGATATTCGTACGCGATCGCCAATCTTAAATTTGGTATTAAGATTTGCCATTTTTATTCGATTAAACACCGTTTCCATTAGCTTTTTTTCGTGCTTTTTTATAACATCGGCCGGTTTCATTTTAATTACGCTGTGATGTGTATTATTGTAGTTTCTAACAATTTCCGATAATATGTCGATCCATTTATAGTTTCCTCGTAGACTAAACTCTTTCCACATTATATTTTTTATGGTACGGTTCACTCTTTCCACTATAGCGGCCTTTTTCTCGCTAAATACATTATAATGATTGATATGATATTTTTTCATTAAATTTTGAAAGTCTTTGTTAAAAAATTCAGCTCCAGCGTCAGTTTGTAAATTTTTTGGTTTTTTGGTGGACTTTAAAATTGTTTCCATAGCTCTCGTCACTTCCGCTCCCGACTTATTTTTTACAGGTAGCGCCCAAACAAATTTAGAAAAACAATTTATTACAATTAGTATGTATTTGTATCCACGATTCTGTTTTGCGTACGGAATCATTTCGATAAGGTCAGCTTGAAACAGATCATATAAAGATTTAATTATAGTTTTTCTACGTTTAAAGTTTATACGAGCAGGTTTATGAAGTTCCTCGACAACTTGTCGCTTGGCATCCGTAATAAATTTCGACGGCTTCATTCTATAATATCGGCTTCGCGCAATTCTTCAATTAGCGAATTTATCTCATTTAAGTGACCCGTATGACCTGCAGACTGTGACGATACGAGTAGACGCAATCGATCGACTAATTCATTTGGATCGTCCCAATAAATGTAATCTTTTTTATTGGGTGTCACTTCCATTGTTGTCATTAAACCCTTTCCCCCAGTTGTTGTTGTTGGTGCAATAATATTTTTATATTTTTTCAGCTTACTTCCGTCAATTTGAGCATTGGGTTTATAATGTCTTTTGTGAGCGTTCGTTTTGTATACAATTTGTTTATAATTTTCCCTGTCTTGTTCGTTAAATAAACTATTGTTAGGATACTTTTTAAATAACAATTCGTATAAACCTTGAGTACCTCTGTACCGTTTACCTTGAACATAAATATCTGATCCTTGAATATCTACTTGTGAGTTACCAATAAAAAATTTTTCAGTACTTTTATCCATTCTAACGCCATACTTGTGATCAAACTCTCTATTTTCGGTATCTTCGTACATTTCTCGAATATATTTCCGTGGTAATGGATCGTATTGATCCAAATATTCAATAAAAGACACTGGTCCGATATCTTCAAATCGACTAGTAGATTCCTTGTCTACGTTTACTACGTTGTCTTCATAATCTGAATCAATTTCATCTATAATTGATTGTTTCATTTCACTCGGTGAATCGTAATTACTAATAGGAGTCGAATTAAATGATAACTGTCTAGGCAATATTTTTCGTTTCTTTTGAATTACTGATAGTGGTAAAGTTTGTTCTTCTGCTGTGGCGGCGGCTGCTGCTGCTGCGGCGGCGGCGG